GAATAAAATCGAAGGAATATATTTTATGGGATAATTATAATTTGTCTCTATTATATAGAATTATTATTATTATATAGTTTATTTGTGTTTATTATATAGAAATATAATTGAGACAGGAATGACAGCAGCAACAACACACAACACACACACACCCAACACCCTGTACCACCCCTTCTCAAAAAGTATTCTCTTTTTTTTATTAAATGGAAATATTGGAAAAAAACAAACGGCTTACCCATGAGAAACATCGTACATGATCCTCCCCTCCGAAGAGAAAAGCACCGATAACACCGTAACACCAATCGCTCATAAAACTCCAATAATTTTATCCACCGATGAAGAATAATAACTGACACACACACACACACGCACACGCACGCACACTGTTTAGATTATGCACTGTTTTTTTAAACGGTTTTGTGATTTGTAGTGTTGTGTCAAGTGTAAACAAAATTTATGGTGCAACCAAAATCAATCCTTTTTTCCTTTTTCAATGAGACGTCGTCATCCGATGAACCTAATAAATTGTTAGGGGAAAAAAAAGCACACACACACAATTTTTCTTATTTTATTTTTCGTTAAACCCCATGGGGTAAGATTCTCAACAACAAAAAAAAGCAGGAAATATTTAATAATAGGAAAATAAGAACAAAACAAAGTCAATTACAATTATAAAATAACACTTTCCGTATTATTTTTAATAAAATAAGATGACGATAATCTAACAGAAAAAAGAAAAATAAAATATAATTACGAATAACCATCACTGGAATCAAACAGATCACAAATTTTAGATACCAGAACAAAGTGCATCAAACAAACAAACGAAAAGAAAAGAAAAATCCCTCAAAAAAAACAGTAGTATACAGAATAAAGACAAAAGGAAAGAAAAATAACGATGATGGATAGGATAGGATAAGATAAAGGGTTTGGAATTGGGGGTTGAATTATCGGAATACCTCGAAACTATCAGAACAACTGCCGCAACCGGTAAGAACACGACGCATAGCTAGCTAGCTAACCAGCTAGCTAGTGTTGAAAGCTAAGTCGAACGAACAGTAGCTGGTTGGTGTTCCTCGAAACGGGTTAGCTAGCTAGTTCCTTTCAACCCCGAAGATGAGGACTAGGTGGTGGTGGTGGTGGAAGTAGTGGTGGAAGTGGTGGAGAAGGTGGTGGATGAGAAGAGGAGAAAGAACTCCTGTGGCGTCTCTCGCGGTTAGTGTCAGCCCCGTGTCCTTCAGGATGAAGGAATGAGGGTGAGGATGAGGAAGAGGAAGAAGAGGAGGAGGATGAAGAACAGTGGGTGAGGACGCTGTCGTTGTTGCGCATCGACGAGGAACCATCTCTCGAATCCATTGGATCGTACAGGAATATCGGGGAAACAACGAGTGAGAGTTGGGGTGGTATGCTACACCTTCACCACCACCATCATCATCACCACTACTACTACTATCATTCGAGGGAAAACTAGGTCACACGGAATACCACCACCAGAATCAGTAAACCACCACCACCACCAACCAGCAGCAGCAGCAGCACCACTACCAGTACCAGCAACAGCACCAGCAACAGCAGCAGCAGCAGTTTGATGCTACCAAGCGGACTCTACCGGCACTGATTCTGCACTTTCAACTTAAAACACAGCCGCCATCCACGGGATTTTACTGGTAATTTCGAATCTACCCTTATCCATTGAATTTAAACACCCCTCACACTTCTTTCTTTCATTTTATCCTACGAAATTACAACCAACCTCTTCCCTTTCTTCATATAACTGGGTTTACAAAGTTTAAATACTTTTCGGGGGATGCAAATATCAAATTTAAACAGCTAACCTCTCTCCCTCCTCACCCCCCATCCCAAGGGTTGTCGATGGATTTTATATTTAATCGATCGATACTTTTTCTGGAGAAGAATTTCTAAATCAAATTATTAGGTTATCAGAATTGAATATAAATTATTATTTTTGATCGGAGGTTCTCGTTTGGTATTAGAATTTATTTGAAAAGTTATTGAATTTTTGTGTTCGATTATTATTTGAAAGTATGAATATAAATTTTGATGGATTTAATTTACTGGAGGGGAGGAGGAGGGAGGGAGTCCCAAGATAATTGCTTCCGTTTTCTGAATAAGACAATAATAAAACGTTATATAATGGAAAATAGAAGAGAGCATCCATCCCCTAAAATGAAACTGGGTCATAACAGAAGGAACGTCTAAAGTGGAGGGGGTAAAGAGAGAGGTAGAGAGAGAGAGGGATGATTTGGAAAACGGTTCTCTGTTTTACGATATTATGTCGCACGATGTGCCAATTGGGAAAAGTGGAAAATGGTTTTATTGACCGGTTTTACTATCAACCAATGTGAACGTTCCAAATTATCAAATGTTCTCGATAGGAAAGTTCTTATTTAGTCGTTAATACCTAAAGGGTTGGAAAATGGATGGAAAGTAGGTCAACGTGATGAGAGAATTAGAACGAATGTCTGATAGTATGTGTGTGTGTGTGCGTGTGTCAGGGAAAAAAAGAAAGGAAAATAAAATCAAATGAAATGAAAGTAAAATAGAAGAGGTGTTTTTTTTTTGTTTTTTTTTTTTCTAATGAAACGACAGATAATTCATGAGATTCGATTGCTATCACTGGTATTACTCAATTAAATATCGAGAAAACTAGTTTTTTTTTGTCTCTTAGAAAACCAGAATCCTTAAATTGGACAACTTGAAGTAATCGGTTCACATCTACGTTTACAATCAAACACACGCACACACGCATACATATATATATACGTTTAAACGTTTACGATCATTGGAAGAAAACAAAATTGATTAACCCCAGTCTCTCTCTCTCTCTCTCTCTCTCTCTCTCTCTTCTGTTAGATTATCGATTCGAAAATGGCGCCATAAAAAAAGCAAGGAGAGGAAAGAAAAAAATAGGAAAGGAAAGAAACAAACAAAAAAAATAGAAAAGATAAAAGAGGCCACACGTCATTGGTCGGTCGTAGTGGTCTCTCATAATCGTTAGGATTTTTTTTTTCTCTACCCCCCCCCCCTATTACTATTGGTAGATTTATACTAGTTTGTGTGTGTGTGTGTGTTAGATTGGTATAGTCTTTCAAATACATTTCCAAGAGTAACATCTTCGCGAATTGGATCGCAGCACTTAAGATTATGACTCATGAGAATCCGAGATCAGGTTTAAGGGATAGAAAAAAAGAAAATGAAAGATAATATATATATAATAATAATAATAATATAAGTATATTTGTGCAATAAAATTTCTGCAATGGAGTTAATGCAAGAAAAATATAAAAAAATAAAACAACATTCGAATGATAATTATATGTTTTCAAATCAGACATACAAAGTTGATAAAAATAATTTGTAGATTAATTACAAGAATAAAGTGTGTGTGTGTGTATTTTCAAATCACAATATATGATGATTAATATTCAATTTTATTTTTCTATTTAAATGTGCATTTATAATTATTAAAATACTAAACAACAACGTTTGAAAAATTAAAAGAACAAAATCTACGAAGTCACGTGGACAAAATTATAAACAATAAATTATTATATTAACTAGTTTGTGTGATCTCTTGAAAATGATCGAAAAAAAATAATTCCAAATAAAAGAAAAAGAAATTTTAAGAGAAACGAAGAGACAGATAGAAAACGACTAAACATATTTAACGATAATCATTTTTTATTTTGGATACAAATATTAACAAGATTAAAACAACTAAACAGGAAATTTATCTTTTACCAGAAGATAAGTGTTGTAACATCACTTGAAATGTTACTTTTAAACGAACCTTTCCTAATAAATAAAAAAAAAAGAAATCCAATCCGTAACCAATCGAATAAAACGTGTCAGACGAGAGAACAAATACAACAAGAACAAAAAAAAGAAATAAATAAAACAAATACGACGACGACAAGGGGGAAACAAAAACAAACAAAAAAAATGGTTTAAGATAAATCTAATAATTTGTCGTAACGATAAAAGGGTGGAAGTCGTCGTTACGGTACATGATTAATCGTTCTGCCGATAATACCATTGAACTAACACATATTCGCATAAGATTTCAGTATACACTATACATATATATAGATATATGCATGTTTAAATGCACATTGATATACTACTTTCTCTTTCTTTCTTTTATTTTCTTGTAAAAAGAAATAAAAAGGATGGAATGGGGTAAGGGTGGAGTGGGGAATGGGGTTAGGAGAGAAAAGATCGAGTGTAAGGTCGAACAAATGCATGAAAAGTCATGTGTAATTGGCATTTACAATTAGTCTTAACCATTGGTAATTAAGATGTATCGAGTTTTTGAAGAGAGAAAGGGGATAAAATAAACGTAAGATTGATTTACGAGTACGCGATCAAAACAAACACGTAACAATTTCTACGAGTTTTAATCTATACGATGAAAGTTAACGATCTGTTAACGTTTTTTAATCACTCTTTACTTACTTAAGTGTGTTTTCGTTTTTTGTTAATTACTTTATATTACTCTCTTGATTGTATTTTATTTTTATTTTTATTTTTATTTAATTTGATCGACTGTATTATTATTATTTTCTTCTGTCATTAATTGTAGAATACTATAGTTTGTTTTTCTATTTTTTTAATATATTATAATTATATATATTAATTATTAATTATATATATATAATATTATTATATA